GAGTGACGTTTTTCAATAAAAACACTTATCATATTATAAATAACTGTTTTGTTATTTTTGTCACCAAAAAATTCGGGTGGAAATATAAAATCTAAAACTCCTACAACAAACTTCTTAACCTGTTTTAATTATTAAGTAATTTTTTTTTTAGAAATTAATAATAATTTAAGATAATTTTAAAATATTTAAAATATTACCTGATAGGTATTGCACTCAACTAAACTTGTTTCCTTTATATTTAATACAGATTATAAGAAAAAATAATAATTCAATATTTGATTAAAATAAACACAAAAAAATTACCTGGATCGGGCAGTAAGTATTAAGCAAATGTCTATACTGGCATATATTATGACGTTTAATTATGTGATCAATATACGGAAGTAGATGTTTTAAATAATCCGGAATTTTACAATGTAAATTCTATTTTTTAAAATAAGCTATAGATTGATCATTTTACAATAATACCCAATTAATAAGTATTCTAATAAATATATATACTTACATCTATTTCCTTTCTCCTATCCATATAAGTATAATATAATGCATGAGAAACTTCTCTACAGGTAAATACGTTTTTCAAGTTGAATTGTTTCGGAAATATATAACTTATCACGGTATTCGACATATTAACGTTATGATATGAAAACTTAACAACATTAAGGATATCTAATGAAATCATTATTTATTTATTAGTTATTACAAAAAAAACAGTAAGAATTTTTTTGGTACTTACGATTTTTTGGCAGCCCGTGCCACAATTCACCATTTTTATTATATATTAGGGCCTAAAAAACATAATTGAACGAGAAAAGAACAAGTTCGATATGGAATTCGTGTTGGATACTTTTATAATTTTACGATCATTTAAGATAGCGGCTTTGAAAGATTTATTCAAATCTTCAATGGGACATTTTCTACTGATGGATGGACCCATAATTTGTATATAGCATCCATTTTTGAGCTCAAGAAAAATAGAATAGTTTGTCAACAAAAAACACAGGGCTTCTTGACCGATTCTATTTATTTTGAAAAATAATAATTAGTTATGCTTTTTATACATTAATTAAATATAAATTTTGCAAAAGCCAACCTCGTATAAAGTTTCAACCAAGCGTATGATTTCTTCATCAAATCAGTTGTAGTATTTAATGCACAGATTCGATATCCTTTCGGATTTTCAATTATAGATTTATTAGACTTAGTAAACCCAAATCTGCCTATGTTGATTATTGGTTCATGTCTATTTACTAAAAAATGAATGGACATATCTATTGTTTACAAATTAATATCGTTCATTAGTAAACGTTCACTCAAAGAAATAAATCAATATAAATTCTCACCGTATCTAAACCTATTTGTTCTTTTCGTATATTTCCCACAATCTCTTGCTTTTCCTTTGTAATCAGTGAGAAGTCTTTACAGGTATTAGAGCTTACAATAGTCGTTCGGAGAAGGTGCTTATAC